TGCTTTTAAGTAATCAGTGAACTGCCTAACTCCCTACAGTTGGAGCATTAGTCCCACAAAGTTTTGCGCAGGTTCAAACTTTTTCGCCATTGGAAATGTTAGCAGCAGCTGCTAGTTATTAACAACAAGGATGGGTCATTAGTAAGTAATGCGCTCACGTGATCTGTTTCCAATCCCGGTCTGTGTAGTATATCTATGATTCCAGGAAATACTCTACCTATCTATATCTCCGGACAACTGACTGGTTAATAAACGAGAACCGGGTGGGCGTATCTTAGCTAAATCACAATGGAGCATGGTATGACCTTGGGCGTAACGACACAAGACCCTGCAGCACAAAATAGGAACCCAACTCAGAAGCCCTACATAGCAGGTGAATTACTTGACCTTAACCTATCGTTAATCACTTTCCCCTCAGATCCTGAATTTAGTGAAGCTTTAAAACCACTTTTATCACTGAGCCAGAAGATTGACCGAATCAGATCTGCAAGTCAATGTCAAAAAAGAAGAAATCGAAAAAATCACTTGTCCTGATAATGACCTTATTGGAAAAGATTGGTACTCATTCGGTTTACAGAAAGAAATAGACCCCGACAAACTCGATCAAATCAAAGATGATAATGGTACCAGAGAAGAAAGAAAGTCTGACCTTCTTCATCTCCTGATTGAGCCAAAGTATCAAATTCGCTATGAAGACATTGTTTATTTTCATTATAAAATTGACAAGCAAAGTGAATTTATCACTCTCATTCTTGACTATATTGTTGATCAAAGGAAAAAGACAGGTTAGGCTTACTGCTTTAACTGTACATATACTGTATTTTACTGTATAAATGCCTTGTCCAAATAAATGCCTGTTATTAATATATTCTAGCTATAGACACGCATATTTGTACCAAAAATAATCTCCTACTGTTTAAATATGGGACTTGGTAAAAGCGGGGGTGGGGATGGGGATGGGGAGCAGGATTTCATCGGTAAAAGCGGGGTGGGGATCTGGATATTGGGAGCAGCTTTTCATCGGTAAAAGAAGGATCAGACATAGGATCAAAATAATGAAGACAGGGACAAGTCTGCAACTGGCAATGGTCTACTTGCAGTCAAGGCTCTATAGATCTATATGAATTCATTTTGCAAGCCTGGACAGTATTATTCTAAGCAGAAGACCTGCATGCATGAGTAGGCAGGCTTTTGATCTATTTTTATGAAGTAGAAATTTTAATTCATAATATTTTAAGTTTTTCACTGTAAAATATATTAGCATCTTTATGTGACATGCCACTTTGAAATGCTACAACCATTACCATTGCCTAAAAATGTCATGGGCATAAAAATATTATAGATCAAGGCTAAAATTTTTTATCTGACACCGGAATACTGATTATAAATTGACTGCTAATGCCTTCCTTATGGTGACATCCTAACTCACAGTGCAAAGAACTTATTTCTTCAAGGTACAGAAATATTGTCACTATTATAGTATTAATCATAACAATAAACCATGTTCAGAGATAGTTTGAATCGTTCTGCAAAACAAGTGACTTTGATTAAACTATATTACGTAACTTACATTGAAATGTATGATGATTTGCAGTAAATAATGGCTCTTGAATACTAATGACATCAATAAAAGTATTAAGTATTGCCGTTGCATTTACCTTGCAACA